AATGTATTTGCAATATATAATACGCTATGTACAAAGCATTTAACATGCATGATATGGTACCAGAAGTTTGATCTTAAATTCTGACAGCAGAGATGTGTTTCAAGAGCCTGTATATAAATATCAGCTGGTAATAATACTTACAGATTTTTTTTTACTTGGTGTTTACTGGTAAAAAAAACATAAGATCAGATGTGACTGGCTCTGGAACCCTTTTTGCCATGTTGGGGAAGACTCCAGACATTCACTAGCATAAGTTAAACCTTTGTTGGGTAGCATCTGTAAAAAATGGGGTTTTTGCATCTATCTCCTTCTCAACATTAACAAAATCAGTATTTTTCAGTGTTGCTTGGTGTGTGTTACCAGCTATTATTTGCAAGTTTAAGACAACTTTAAACCAGTGTTAACATATACTTTTAACAGAATACATGCAATAAAAGCAATGATGTGAAACAGACTATCAAAGTCCCTGTAAGATTGCTCTAGACATAAAGATGAAGAGTAAATTGAAACTTCTGAAGTCTTAAAGCTGTAATGAATTTCTTTTTAAAGTTGAGGGTTGCTTGTTTGCTTGTTTGTTTCTGAATAACAATTTTTTGTCCATGCATAGTACCTTATGCTCATTTTTATTTCTAGAATAAAGTTTTCAGATTAAAAATAGACTATATTGTTCTATAAGAATACTAATTGCTACATTCACTGGATTGAGACAATTTTATTTAATGTTATAATTTCTCCATGACTTGAATACAATACAAGCTAAATATTAGCTAATGGTGGCTAATAATTTATTTAGGACGACTTTCTGTAAAGAACATGATTCAAGATCTGGAAAATCCCCCTCACAGACCCTGTCTCCTTCAGATTTTTTGGACAAATTGATGGGAAGGACATCGGGATATGATGCTAGAATCAGACCAAATTTTAAAGGTAAGTTTTTTAAGACTTCCGATTGATTAATCAATTACATTTTGGGCAAATTATAGGTTTGAGGGGTTTACCTGTGGGTTCTAATTCTCTTTCCAATAAATTCAGTTTTCCAGTGTGATAGTTGAGATCGGCTGATCCATGGGGAGGACTAGGAGAACAGTGTAGGTAAAATGGGTCCAGAGCTTGAAAACCCTCTTTTCATATGACGATAATGTTTAGCTGTCAGAGGATGCTTCTGAAGATTCTGCTAATTCCACATAGCAACTAGAATTCCAGTTCCACACTAAAAAAAACCTTGTTCCTGAAATTTTTAATCCATGAAGACAATATCTTTAACACTGCTATGCTGAGCTGTTGTGTTCTTTATAGTAGTGTCTGAAGAAACGGTCTATGCATTCATTGAACTTGAAGAAAGTAAAAGCTCCCTCTCCAAAGTAGGGAGATAGGACTCAAGGTATGCACACAGAAAATTTTATCCTGCGAATGCTGACTGAAGGATAAAACCCAATTTCTCAGGATCCCTACAAAATATAAAAATAACACTTTGTTTTTCAGTTCCATAATTCCCCCCTTTTCTTCCAAAATTTTGGCTGAGCTGTGGACAGTCACCACCTTCTTTTGCAACCATTACTGTTCACAGCAAGTTTTCCTTGCTGTAGTCTTGTCAATCCCTATGAAAATGAGCACAGAATGAGTTATGGCTTTCAATGAGAGAAGTCAGGAGAGAAGTTTTCACTGCAAACATTTTAACATTTCTGGAAAGCCCTGTAATTCCATGAAACTGGCTCTTCTATGCCAATTTAAAGCTTAGAATGTGGTTTTACTTTGAAAACTGCTAAAATGCTTTCTTAACAAATCTGATGCCAATGTACATTTTTACTCTTATCTCTCAGCTTTGGTCACCAAAATGAATGTTTTCCTGTACTGAGCCATGTTAGCATTGCTGTGAAAGTTGATAACAACTAGAAAAAAACCCATCATTTCTTAGCCAGTGAATGAACTGTTAGGAAAAAAGCTTGCATGTCAATTAGAAAAGTGTTTAATTAAATTTAGATCAAAGATTAGTTTCTTCTCTCTGTTCCACATGTGCAAATTACAAGATTTGGAACAAAGTGCCTGTTTTGACGGCTTGCTTATTGAGTTCCCAAACTGGAGTCCACATTAGCCTGTAGTAAGTAAGCAAGCATTAGGCCCTCATATTCATTTTGTGTACTTGCATGCATATCAGTGAAGTTTTATAGAAGACAAGTAAAGGCAGAAATTCCCTGAATTGAACAAGGTAGCAATCATTAGAAACTTATTCCTGCCCTTTATATGGAGAGGGCGCTAAAACAAGACTTCCAGTTCATCTCTTGTAGCTCAGATTAAATCAGGAATAGTAGCAGTCCCTTTACATAGGACAACTTAAAGACAGCTGCTCCCCAGTATGCGTCTAAAACCATTTCATGAAAAACACAGGAGGAGACAGATTCAAAGCTTTGCTCCCAGGATGTTCAAGCAGGTAGAGCAGATATGGTGTGCATGATGTTGTGTGGTGCATGCTGAACTGTTTGACAGACACTGCTGCTTGCCAAATGTCATAGTTTCGTGTTCCCAAAGTGAAGCTGCTGCCTGATGAAACCTATGAACCCTTAATGGCAAAGAATATATTGTTTCTTATTTTTTATTTATTTTTTTATTGCCACTTTCCAGAGTAGGATGGTACTTTGCAGCAGTGTGAAGTGACAAACACATTTTCAGTGTTTTTTCCTAACTTCACATCTCCAAGCTCTCTCAGAAGTCTCAGTCTTCTGGGGATGGGTCTGAAAGGTTTTCTTGTCCTTTGCTATGTTCACTTGAAGGGTATTTTATATCTCAGAGTTCAGAACTAGAGAGTTAAGTCATGCAGTTTTGAACTTCACATCACCCATAAAAATCTTGTCAGCTGATAACCATTTTTAATTAGTCAATATGATGCATGCCCATGTTCTAGTTGCCCAAGTCTTGTTAACTTTTTAAAGAAATTGAAAATACTTATTGTTTTATATTGCATACTTATTCTTTTTAAAGAATAAGAAGTACAGCTGCAAAGAGGATAAAATAAATTCATCTTGCATGGAGTTAAGTATTATAAAGTTTTTTTGTACTGAGTTTTACTGCGACCATAGTACAAATTGTTTCAGTTTCTAACATTCATTAATCTATTTGAGATCTTTTTGGGGATATAAGATATTGTACAATATTAATATTCTAAATCATATAAATGGATGGATATATGACACGTGGAATGATTCCCTAATTTCAAACACTTTTTTGTATTTTAAGGCAAGAACTTTTAAACACAAAAGAGCTTCACAGAAACAATGGTTTAAACTAGGGATCTGCTATCTGGCTTTGCATGTAGTCTGGGGCTAACTTTTATTTTCTATATTTCACAAAAGACATGGATCAACATAGTTGTGTCATTGCTCATGCATTTGTCTAGCTTTTTCTGCTTTAGACCAGTTACACAGACTTCTCTGAGTCCACTGTAGGTGTTTAAATTGTCAGAAAAGTCTGATTTAATGGAAAGGCAACTAGGTAGAACCCATACCACTGATTATACAATAATGAAATACACTTTTATGGCTAGTCTGAACTACTGGAAAACTACAGCTGTTTGATTAATATGTAGACCAAAGGCTACACATTCTAAAAAGAGAGGAAAATGCTACTTACTAGAACAAGGTGTTTTATCCAGATGAGACATTTCACCATTAGTTATTGCTTTTCTCTAACTTTCTCTTGTAAATCAAAAAATTCAGGAAGACAGTGAGAGAGCAACAGATGAATATATAAATGTTCAAACATCAGCAACAGTTGTTTTGTTGGGTTTTTTTTTTAGTTTGTTTGGTTTTTCTTATAGAAGTACTGTATACTGAAATATACTGAAAGATCTTTCTTTTCTCTATCTTTCTGTCTTATACAATCATTTCAAAGCAGAGGACCAGATTTCTGGTTCTTCACACACCAAGCAATCAGATACAAAATGACCAGGCACTGAGAGGGACTGGGCCCCTGATGAGAAGCCAGAGAAAAGTGCCAGAGTGACAGATCTCAAAATTGCTTTTGTTTAATCATTGTGAGATACTTAATGCATATTTTTTCTTCTTACACTTACCATTTGTTGAATCTGAGTAGGCTGATAATTTGTGTAAGGACACAGAGGGGAATATTTTTAAATGTAAATATGAAGACTGCAATCTAATCCTAGTTGAAGTCCCTGAGAGTCTTTCTGTTGACAGCAAATATGCACTTGTGACGTATGAGTTGATTTACTGTTTCTTCTTCAGTTATAACATCGGTCGCACAAGATTTCTATAAAGCAATAAAATGTGAAGCCTGCGTGATATACTTTTTACCTGATAATTATCAATGTTATATTTTTTTAATGGTAAAAACCAACAGCAACAAATCAGTGATGTTTTTTAATTTCTCCACTCCTCAAGAAAACCAGAAATAGTCATGTAAGGCACCTGTGCTATAAAACTAGCCAGGAATGTGCTTTCTCAGTGGTAGAAACCAGGGATGGTGAAGTGGTATCTCAGATTAGTGTATATTCGGTTCAGGCTCCCTCAAGAGCACTGTATGTAATGCCATGATACAAGAGATCAATCTGCAACTTAATCACAACATGAGATGTGGGGCTAATGGAAAGTCAGCTTGAATTTAAAATTTCTTACTAGGTGTCAACCTTCGGAGGTTACTGAATTATTTCCACTTTTTAACACCTTCATCTTATAAACCCACTTAAAATCTAAGCATAAGCTAGAAATTATCAGATAGGGAAAGCTATTTCTCTATAGGCACTACTACATTCTTTTTCCCTAATACTTTGCATAGTAGACTGGCTGTCATGCAGTGAGTGGAGAGACATGGAGTTTGTCACCAAGAACTCAAGAAGCTTATTGTCTTTGATATGAAAAAAGTTTGCAATGAAGATGATAGTGATTTTCTTCTGTATTGAATTTTCATTTTATGTTTTTAGTGCATATTTCCCATTAAGTCATTTGTTAAAGAATATTCTGATTTTTACCTGGAGGTGTGCAGCAACAGTGCCCATTAATGTTACTCTTATCACTGGATGGTGCAGTGCAGTGTGAATTAACTTGCTCAAAAGCTGCTGTTTCTGAACTCAGAGAAGACTTGTTAGAAGGTTGCAGTTTGGGAGTGTAGTGGCTGTAGTTGTAAAAGATTAGTCTGTGATTAGAGCAGTGTAATGCCATTTTCAGGCCGAGTCAGTGAGTTTATATCTGAATAATAAACACATGGACTAAGTAATTTACTTGAAAATTAGCTTGACAACTGTTACAGGAAATGGCTTATACACTTTAATACCTTAACTGCTTGGCAGCAAGGGTCAGTTTTTCCCACGTGTTCAAGTTCATTGCTTACTTATTTGGCCCCTGAGTTGACCAGTAATGACATGCTTAAAAAAGCATGAATAGAAACCACTGAATGACATTTAAGGGTGAAATCAATGGCATCAGGCTTAATAAATAAAAGCGACCTCTACGTACATGATAAGAAGAGGAACTGTCCACAGAAGCTGACCTTAATCTAGATATGATAACTTCACAATAAAACCCAATAGAAAAACAATCTGTAAAACATATAGAAGTTGAAAAGCATACCTAAGATAGGCTGTGGGACTGCAGTGATCCATTCTCCAGTAGTTATTAACGTTCCTAAAGCCAGACTTCAGTTGCTAACAACTCCTAGCCATGAAATCAAACGCAGGATGAATCCTGTACTGGGCTATTTTCCATACAGTTCAAAGGCTCAAGGACCATTTCCAATGGAGACTCAAATTTAATTTGGGCATGATGGCATGTAGTAAGGAAGTGCACGCTGTTGGTGCATTCTCATTGTAGGGCATGGGCTAAAGGTTCATTATAGGAGAAAGGAGGCTACCTGGACAATTTTTGGATGTGGCTAAGCCATTGCACTCTCTAAATACAGGTTGCTTGGAATGTGCAAGC